AAATTGGGAAAAAATCAACAACGAAAGCAAAGGTTTACTAAATCTTTATCGCTAATATGATCACAGATATTTGGAAATAACAGAGAAAGTTAAGTGTACTTTACACATTGGTTACAATTTTTGATTTAGTAAATATTCAACATGATATAAAGATAACAAAATGTATAAGATACACGTAAGAGAAAAACAACTGTTCATAAACATTAATGCTAATCCGTCAACATTAACTCATGTCAACGAAAACATTAACCACAGAACTGTAGGTGAATATCTGTCAACATAAGAAACAACAGCTGATGAGACGTATTCCTGGTCTCTGGAGGTTTACACAGCTAGGTATCCCTACACCAATCAACAGAATGGTTATGCAAATTAAGCGCTACAGGTTAAAAGAGTAGTAGCTTGATGACCCTTTTTTCATTTTCTAAAGCCTGTCAGGGTTACTGCAAAAATATGTTAACTTAATAGTTGTTAACGTTTACATTATGCAAAGGTTTGTTAAAACATTAACACTTATATAGACACATATCTGATGTTAGTTATTACAACCAATTATCTATATATTCACGAAAGTTGAAACCTCACAACCACACTGATCCCCTTGGCATTTTGCTGTTTCACAATCTTTAGGTGAATGGCTTGATGTTAAAGGAAACCGTCAAGAAATCGTTAAGATAAAACCATTCTACTGACTAGTTGTAAAACAGTAAAATGCATTGTGGATCAGTCTTCCTGTAATTTTAAATTTACGTATATTTTCCGGTCAAAATAAAACATAAATCATTAATAAGGGGACAACCCTACTGTGATAGTAGTAGTTTTCTCATTCAAATACATTGTATATACAAAGATAGTTTAGAAATGGTTCAGTTAGACCCACAGAGGGAGATACCAGTAGGCAGATAGACGGACTTGTATGCATAGTTGTGACCCTAATATCCTATAGTGAGTCGGGGACATTCAAAGGTTTTCCAACAGAAAATATTGATGAATAGGCTGACATCAAAACACTTGGTTTGAAAAAGGAAGCGTAGGACGTCTTCAATTTTCAAAAAGGCCCGTAGTGGTCTTTAGGGGGTCACCAAAAGATTGAAAGTGATCACAGCATTTCGTCCGACAATTGTGTGTATACTAATTGTACGGGGAGTAAAGGTGAGCCAGTACATATTGCTGTACAGACTGGATACGGTCACGTTAATGAACGACAATTGTATTTCATTATAGTAATAATCCACTGAAAACCAAAGAATAGGCAGATACTTTCTACGGTCATTGGGGATTAGAACAGGAAATGGTTTATAGATGAAAAAGACCAAAACACATGAATTAAAAATAATAATAAAAATGTTGAGAAGACACAATGAAAAGCAATACCGCAAATAATAAGTTTTGCAACATTTGATGAAACAAATAAGTCGACGATTTGTCAACTATATTTTGAAGGCGAATTTCAAGTATAAAACAAACCAGCTAATAATAATAAGTCATCTAATACAAAAAATACAAGAGGACGACCTTCATGAGATAATTGTTGATACGATGGAAATGACACTGGAGGAAAGTATCCATCCAACAATATAGTGGGTACCGGCCGGCGTGAATATAGTGGTCGTTAAGGTGAGAGGCGACTTATGTAGAAACTGTCATATTCCTGCCATTGATCCATGTTTTTAATGTCCTTTTCAAATTTAGCAGCGGAAGTATCTCTCTTCACTAGATCTGTAAAAGAAATGTGATATAAAATACAATGCATCTCTCTTTACTAGATCTGAACAAGAAAATGTGATACATTACAAAATGTGATATATATTACATGCACAATGTAAATATCTTTACCAGATATGTAGTACAAAATGTAATTTATGAAATATTGCATCTCCCTTTCAGATCACTATCAAAAACTGTGACATGTTACACAATAAATGTAACTGAATTATCAATCAAACAAATGAGAATCGTCCTTAACAGTTATTTCTTTACCACTCGCTCCTCTTTGCCTTGATACTTTTCAGGAAATAGTTTAAACAACTTAATCTGTTATCTGTTCTATGCAAACATATACATTACGAGTATTTTAATTGTCAGAAGATTAATCCTGAAATGGCAAAATTACAACAGGTTGTATCTGTTCGACAGTCGTTAAAGACTGCGGTCGTAAAAGAGGCCAAATCAGAATACACCGGCATACACACTTCCATGTCAAAGTGCTTATCTTGTTCATTCGGAAAACAATCAACGGAGAGAGAGATTGAGGTGGCAAAATAAACAGTCATAAACATTTGGAGCAAACTTCGTCTAATCCGATATCAGGCCTTGGCAGCAAAATGGAAGTTGTGAAGAGTTTGAAGTAGATTAATACAACTACATAATACAACTTCGATTGTAATCGGATAATACCTAAATTTCGACCAATCAGAAAGCAGTGAACGGTGGCTATCTCGTCCAAAGTGTAAATTGAAATTTTTGAGGAGAATAATTACACAAACAAAATGTATATACCAAACTTGATTTGATAAGGAGAATAACTAAATTCCGACCAATCAGATGTCAGTCTTCGTTTGGAGGATTTAAGTATATGTCAGATAAATAACATACGTACCAAGCACTGCCTACAACACTATGCTAGATAATGTTGGATCTCACTATGGGGCATACATTTGATGGATACTTACGGGACGAAGGGATCACATCGATCGTGTAAGGAGCAAGGATCTTCCGTGTATAAAGTGTACATCCGGTTGTGGCCATGTTCTGGATGAAACCTTCCACGACCGCAGCGACTGGGTTAATGCTGACAGCGTTTCTGACGTAGATAACCACCACGGTGACGTCATGGTTGTACATCATCACTGTCTGTTTAAGAAAACAAAAATGCAGTGTTATAGATAGATAGATATATATTCATTTTTGTATTTCCTCTAGGTAAAGAGATTACAAATGTTGCATTAGTTAATACACTATATTATACCATATTAATTGTCAATAATTAAAGAGAAAACAGCACAGATCATTTGCTTAAGCACTGCAAGTTTCACATTTAGTTAAATTGTTAGCAACTACTGAGTATTGACCTCTTATATAAAAATTTAATAAGCACTTTCACATGGATAAGTATGAACACTAGGTTTGATATTTCATTTACATTCATAAGCTAATATTATATATATGTACTATATTATCCATTTTAATCCTATCTTCAATAATGTCAAAGAGTTGAACACCAGTACACGTAAATGAATATTTAACACTTAATAAGGACAACTCCTGTAACTTTAGTTCTATATCAGTCATCATTTGTATTAGACCAGGAAGTATGTCGATCATAAAATGCTCCCCGTGCTCATCATTCAGCCCTGGTAAGTTTGTATTTCTTAAAATATCACAGAACTGTTTATCGTCCTCCATATGTGAGAACTGCACATAATCTGTCACCTCGAGTATATTTACAATACTGTCAAAATATATGTCACTACTTTGAAAAAGACTTGGGCATTCTATTACAAAGTGGACGCCAATATCATTTGTTTGTTTTCACATAATTTACATTTAACAATTTTCTCGCATATGTTAAAGACAGCTCTATCAGTTCACGAAATGTCCACATGAAAGTTGGGTATTTTAACCCGAGAGTTTATAATGGATGTGATCCGGCAGAATTATGAATACTAGCATAATGTCGCAAGCTATTATTTCCTGACAATATGTTCCTCCATTCCTTGAACTAAAAGTTCTTAGCCACATTTCTAACAAATGATTTCCATTGACCATGACACGGAACTTAAATATCTGGTATAAAGTCATAAAAGAAATTTTCAATATAGAATTTGCTCATTCTTTCTAAAATATTTGGAACGAAGCGGTACACACTTTCTCTACTAGCAAATAAAAAGTCGCTCAAGCGCGTTATGAAAATCATTTTCCAGATGACCTTTAAGCTAGCGCGACAAAGCTTATTCCAAAACATAAGTTTGCGTTGTTCAACTTCACTCCGAACTTCGAAAACTCCAACAGATTGGTTTGTTGTTGCCGTTGGAGATTGTTTTGAATACCCACAACATCTTCGAACAGAATACCGTAGAGTGCGTTCGAGACTTACAAAGCTAGTTTTGCGATGTCGATCCCAAAGTTCACACCCGCAAATCAGGTTTGGAACTACTATGGTTTTAATCAGCTTCATTGTGATGACAGGGTTAATACCGAATGGATGAAGACCAATACTAACGAGCGAATTTAGGGTTTTACGGCCTTTTTCTCGGGAATTAAAAATTCCTTGTGATCATATTAATTTTGACACGAAAGTAATTCCAGCATACGTTGTTTGACTTCACTGCGGAATGATATCCGTACCTAATTTGCAAACTATCTTTAAGGTAATAGGATTGTGTCACCATAGATTAGTGTTGCATTAATGTACATCAATTTAATAAATGCTGAAGTTGTGTAAAATAAATGATCAATTAACGATTAAAAATTGACATTATATAATAAAACAATATACACATAGTAATTGCATGTAAGAGTTATCTATCTTGAAAAACTTCACAGTAGTGAAATAGGTAGCCTGTTTCCTGATGTACAGAAAAATGGGCACATGTGACTCATTGATAAAAAAAAAAAACCTGAATTAATGCCTGGATTGCATTGAAATACTTTAATATTGAGAGAACACACTATTCTGTCAATAATAAACTTACAGTATTCATCAGTTTGATATTAAACATTAGAATATGCGGAAATTGTTATACTGTCTCCCTACATTGGAGTTTCAACAAGGGACGTACTTCCTACTTCCGTTTATCAATACACTCCAATGACCTTAAATCCGGCTTCTGCTTTTTCGTGAAGACCATCATCGCACTTTTTGTGGGGTTATAGTTCAGTTTCCATTTCGCGCCGTCTGACCACACCGAATCTATCTGCTTTTGGAGAAATGAGACAGACGCATTTAGAGGTGTCGTATCATCATCTAGTAAAACACACGGTATATGTACGTCACCGATATGTAGACCTAAACCAATTTTGTCCCATTCGGAAGCTAGGTTGTCAATAAATATATAAAAAAAACACTGAGAGAATTCGGCCTTGACCTACCCCTTGCATCACGTGGTATTTGTCACTGGTTTTACCATCATAAAGTACTGAAGCTGAAACGTCACGGAAAGTCTTTACTGCCAAACTATATGCCAAATTTTTTAGTTAAATCCTTTTTGGGACAGTTTGTACAATAAGTCGTTGATCCAGACACTACTAAAAGTTTTTTTGTTGTCCAGGAAAGCAACAAAAACTTTAGACGAACGTTCTAGGTAGATTAAAATAGACTTTTTTAAAGTGAAGGCGGCAGTTAAGCTACTGCATTCCTTCCTAAAACCCTGCTGCAGTCGATGAGGAAATTCTATCCGAGCACAGTTTTGCTGTATTCTCGCCTATAATACGTTCTCCAGAACTTTCTGTAGTACGGAACTCAGTGTTATGTCGCGGTAGCTGTTGACATCTAACTTGTCTTTCTTACAAACTTTAAAAACGTTATCACTTTGCAATATTTGAAGTGATTGGGGTACTTCCCGAGTTTAAAAATAGTATTGAACAATGTAACGAAAAGTCCAAGAACAGTTTTGAGCCAAATTTTATATGCTTTACAACTAGTTTACGACTTCATCAAATTGGACCGGAATATCACATGTTTCATCCAGATTACTACAACTTTCTATTTCCATGCGTTTAACTTGATCTTCTATTTCCTTTTGGAACTCAGTATGAAAGTGTGGAAGGTTGCGAGAGGTCGGTAATAATATATTCCCGCGGTTCGGAGAATAGCAGGAATTATTTGTCTTATCGGTTCGATACGGATTCTGACGAGCGTGCTTAGCCAATCGGATTGGCTCTGTATGTAGCACGTGCGATACGTGTAAGCGTATCGGGTACGTGGGTCATTTTCTAGCCGCCTTTCCAGCGCGACGGTCATATTCATATTTTCTCAGGGATCATGGATGAACAAAGGCAGAGATTTCACAGCAGGTAGGTGCGGCACGAACTCAAATTGCATACACTCAGAAAACCATTTCGAATACTCGGCTGACAAAAAATCAGTAGGGTATAATGTGCGTAGACAGTTACAAGTTCAATAAGAAAAGCTGTGAGGAGCAGCACAAATTCAACAACAAGGTTGTGGCAAAGTTGCATGAAGCTCGGCAGTCAAGCCAGGCCGGCGACGCGCAGGACACGAACGAAAAGCTTACCGAAGGTATTGATTTAATGACATACGGACACAAACTCATAAAAATGGCAGATTCCTCTGACGAGGCTAGAAAACGGTAGAAGAGTACGTCACAAACCCTATCGCTTCGGATTCCGACGATGAAAAAAGAATGGACAGGGCCAGGAGCACGGCGAATAGGAAAGCTAAGACACAGAAGCAGAAACCTCGGAGATTTCAGAAGGATCGTTTTCATCCTTATGATGTTGGCGCACGTGGGACACGCGTATCACGACAACAGGAGGGCGGGTGGTTAAGGACAGACCACCGTTGTAAAAACCTGGGACATGTTTCTATTGTGGTAACCCGGGTCACTGGAGGAGGGAATGTCCGACTGTGAGGGGTATTCCCGCGACAGCAGGGAGTGCTAATGAAAAGTTAAGTACACTTTTATTGTTTGATTAAAATGTAGATGTGGCTGATGAGTCAATGATAGTGAAGCCCGTAGTAAAGGCACATTCGGTAGTAAACACCGATAGTACAGCACGTGGTTGTGAAACACGCCCACTTTCTCCGATTGGTCAGTTGAGAGACAGTGTTGATGCATGGGTAAATACAGGTACGTGCGAGGCTGTGTTATAGGTCATTCGTCAAGGATATAAGTTGCCGTTAAAATCTCTACCATTACATATAGTTTTGGGCAACAATAGGTCCTCAAAGGATAAGCCATGTTTTGTGGATTGATAGATAACCAATCACATTCGTATTGGTTCTGTCACAGAAGTTTCGGAACAGCCTGTAGTAGTTAATCTACTGACAGTAAGAAACGTAAGCCCCGTCTCGTTTTGGATTGTAGGCACATAGATCCGTGTTTACATCAGTTTAAATTTAAATACGGGGACGCGTCTGTAGCCAGGGACATGCTCGAGGTAGGTGACCATGTATTTACATTTGATTTAAAATCGGCTTACCACCATATAGAGATATGGCCGGAGCACAGAAGGTACCTGGGATTTTCTTGGATATTAGAAGGGAGGTTACGGTATTTTGTGTTCAATGTGCTACCGTTTTGGATCGCTACGGCAGGGAATATTTTCATTACGGTCACGCGAGAGTGTGTGATATATTGGCGATCGAAAGGTCAACACGTGGTAATGTACCTCGACGGTAGCAGAATGGACATGATAGCAGGCTAGGCCTTTGTAAATCTTTGTATACAAATGGACCAGATAGCAGGCTAGGCCTTTGTAAATCTTTGTTACATATAAAGTATACCAATGGACAAGACAGCAGGCTAGGCCTTTGCAAATCTTTTTAATAACCACAATGTCGGTCAATGATTACCTTGAACGGGACCTCCGTGGCCTTCATGTCGACTTCGTCCTCGACCCAGAAAGTGACCTTGCCCTTGGCGTTGATGGCGTAAGTTTCTTCCAGGATTGACATGAGAGGAGATGGGTTATCTTCCTTAGAATAAAGCTCCTCGCTTTGGGCCTTCTGCGGGTCAGGTCGGTACACACGGTAGCCATGCGGGGCTAAATAAATATATTAGATTCTAGTCTGAAAATTACGGATATATATAAGAATCGATGACAGTTTAATCAAATTTCACTATAAAACACTTTAACTTACCAGAAATAGATAAATATATGCGAGACATTTGCTGTTTAATTACACAGTTATATGAAGTGTTAACCTTACCCAGTTTAGCATACGCGGGAGATTTATGTATGCAATGGTGACCAGGTAGGAAGCAGGCCAGCTCTTTGCTCCATCGCTTATCACGCGAGAAGAAGTTTGTGACGTCAGGATCGTCATTCAACATTGGGTACGGCATCCAGTGTACCATGTTACTGCAGTGTGTGTGCTTCATCTCGTAAATAATTCCTACAACACAACAGGACGGTTGATCAATGAAAGGATTGTTGGATTAACTCCAACGACAATGCTAGATATGAACAGCAAAATAAGGTACGTATGGAACCCTTTGATAAGAATGTTTGTTATTGTTGTAGTCTAGAGAAGATACAGCGCAGGACTGTATCCTTGACAATCGAGCTTAGTGTTTTATATAAGTAGTATACATCTATGTATTTTATATTAATTGCATAACTATAGTTTTTAAATTTACTATATATGTCCTTTATATTCGTTAATACAGCGCTCCAGAGCTGCCAGCTTAGGCTGTTTATGGATACGGCGCTAAATATATATATTATATTATTGTTGCTGTTGATGATGCTGATAATGATGATGATGATGATTGTGGTGGTGGTGTTGGCGGCGGAAGTTGTGATGTATTGAAAAGAATGATAAGACCAGCTTCTACCTTCAAGACATGTGCCACAGTCACTCAAACACCCTCTGACAGCGTCCTGGAGTTCTGAGGGGGGTTCATGGTAGATGTGATGTCGTTCAATATCCGCCCACACGAGCTCCGCCTCAGAGTTTCTATGGTCGACAGTAGACAAACAGAAGTCGGTGCTGTCATCCGGGGTACACACATCTGTCGGCGTGGATCGTTTACGTCTGCGATTCACGAGCTCCGGCAGCTTGTACAGGTAGGTTGGTGACTGTTTGAGAGGGATAACAGCAAGGTTACAGGCTTCGACTGGATCGTCCGGGTCAACAACTCGCCCCTCTGTAATGGTAAACCATAGAAAGACGAAAACATGTAATCTCATCAGTAAGTGTACATTTCTGTTAAACTAACACAACGATGACATTCAAACAATTTTTTTTGTTAAAAATATTTTAATACGTTTTGAAAGTTGTCAATTTTTGTATTTGTTAATGTCTAATATAACAGCAGATATATTAAAGTTAATTCCTTTTTTATTAAGAGTTTATGAGCTCGAAATCTAATAATGTTAACAGTAAACATGTCAACGGGATTTTTTAAAACAATGAAATACAATATATTACTTTGTTATCAAATAAGTTTGAAAGCCTATGAACCAGGTCTGTGTATATGTCAACAACCCACCGATTGCTGCCGTATGCAGAGTTTCAAGGAAGTCCTCGTAGGCGTTTTTGTCCATGCCATGGTAGGGTATGACCGCGTCGGGCGCAACCCATACTTCGAATAAATCCCGCATGTCAACAAAAACACTATCCGCATACAGCCCGAGTCCCATCGCTTCGTTTTGGAGATTGAACAGCGGTCCACACGTCTTGACGACTTCCTCCAGTAGCCGTGCTGGAGTGTTCGCAGAGGACGTGTTTTCGGCAAACTTCAGCTGCATGGCCACGCCCAGTGCGTGGGTGTTGTATCGGTCGTCTGTCGATTGGCTGAATAGGGACACTTGCTCCGGATCGGCAAGGTAACCCCTGGCAACCACAAGGTCAATTTGCTCCCCTATGATATAGAATGTGATCACAGGTTACAAAATTATTTGTCCGAAGATAATCCTTTCTAATTCAAAAGCCAGTAAATTATACGAATATACAATTTGTCGGCTTGTCTACAATGAACATAAATGAGTATTGTTGTAAGTTTTTTTGTTTTTTTAATGAGGGCCTCCCATGTGTGCAATGTGAATGCGTGAAGTGGGTGCGTGTGTTTTGGGACGCTGCGATATGTTCGTGTTTGTCTCCTTGTGGTAGCGCGAAACTGATGCCGACTTTATAGTGCTACCGCACTGAGACATACTGCCGAAGACACCCAGCAGGACACCTACCCGGTCACATTATACTGACAACGGGAGAACCAGTTGTCCAACTCCTAAATTGCTCAGCGTTAAGCATGAGTAGAAACTACCTTTTTACAGACTCTAGCAAGGTTCGGCCAGGGGACAGAACCCAAAGCCTTCCTCACAGGGGCGAATGCTCAACTGAAGGCCAAAAGTTAGGCATTGTCAAGATAGGCATTAGGAAGAAGGAAGTTGTTTAGAAAGAAGAGAAAAGACAAGATCGCAAATTTAGTCGCCTCTTACGATCATGCAATGGGGGCAGCAGGTACAATTCGTACGCCCTACCTGCATGGACTTGTTGCAAGTAAATTCTAACAACATAAAAAAATATCGATGAAATAAAATATGATATATATATATAAGCCATATCTTGCTGAATGTATTCGGTACTACTAAAAAAAAACGTCAGCGATGACTTACCGTCAGTACTGGCACGGTTGAGCTGGAACAGCAGACTGGAGTAACAGGTGGGAATGCTGGGATGTAACCGGAAGTACTGGTAAGTGTCATCCGACGACATGAACTGGTACAGGTAGGCTCCGTTATCCAACTCTGTATTACCCTTAAATAATAGATACGATCGTTGTTGCTCATAGAGTAACACGGATATGGCTCTTCCTCTACATTGACAAGTCAAACCAAAGTGCTTATAAATGAACTGATAACATGTCATTTGACACTTGTAAAAATCTTATATCCTTTATCGTTGAAACAGATGTTAACATCGAATATTTTAAATGCAGTCATCACTTAATCTTGGAGTATATCATCCAATGATATTAAAACATTTTTAGAATTCGGGAAATAAATATTTACCCGTCCTTTTCCATAAAATAGCGGGTAATTTTCTTTGTCCTCCTCCGTGAACTCCACCGGGAAGTCATAGTCAGCTATCATGGCGGTCGGAGAATCAACGGCGATGAAGGTAGCCAGCTGGAACGCGACGCTCTTCGCTGTCGTCCCGCTCATCTTCTTGACAGCTATCTCCAATTTATCACCTAAAACAGTAAGTTATTCATTGTTTCATCAATGCCAGTCAATTGAGATTAAATTCTTCAACAATTTAAAGTTGTTTGTTAAATCTTCAACAGGAATTGTTAAGTGTGAGTGCATAATACCGTGGTGTTTTGTGAAAAGATTCATATAGCACAACCAAAAAGTGTTTCTATGTGACGTTTCGATGACTAATACGGTATGTACTCTGTCACCTTCATCGTACATATGACCAGTGAAGCGTATGTACACAAAGGTGTAAAATATGTAGGAGTTGTCCACAAATCGATGTCGATTCGGCTGTAAACGTATAGTTTACACCTTTGTGTAGATACGCTTCACTAGTCATTTGTCTGATGAAGGTGACAGACTACATACCGTGCTAGTTACCGAAGCGTCACATATGAACACATTTTGGTTGTGCTACACGAATCTGTTAACAATCCATGATTACCAACCTGAAGAAAATGTTTAGAAACATACCTTTGTGTGATATGAAGTCAGCTCCGGCACAGATGGCGAAGTGACTGAGCTCCTCCAGGTTACTCGCCGTGTTGGACGAGACCAGTTGGACTACCACAGCTCGCCCTTCCGTGTGAAGGCGACTGTAGGAGGTGTCTCCAGTCGTAGCGTCGGCGTATGGTTCGTCCCAGGCCTTTAACACTTTCAGCTTATCTACAAAGAATGTGACGAAAATATAACTTCATGTACATCTTCTTACTGTATATACTGACACTAACCATGTTAGTGAAAAAGTTTTGTTTTTAGAATGAACACTTGACTGTAACTAGAGCTCTTAAAATATCTAACACAAATATCCATATAAAACAAGTTTCTATTAATATCCCTGCCGATATCAACGCAAATGGGTTACAAAAGGCTTCATGTCAAAAATGGATGCAACCGATTTGTGTTCATATCAGAATATTTACATTTGCATGGCATTGTCACTATTTAGCCTCTTTGGAAGCTGTGTCGTTGATGGGACTTTAATTACCATGCCGCACGAGACACAATTCTTAGCGTATTAATTACAACACTGACCGGAACTACAATATCCAATGTAAATAAACAGGACGGCTGCCGAAATATCGCTTGGCATTGTGAGATTTGATAATGTCATTGTAAATATATGTGCAAAATAAAAAATAAAATAAAAAACACTTTTATTACAACGAAAACAAGACCAAGGTCTGCAATATCGTACAAAATGCACATCGGTTGAAATCACCAATGCCGGCAATGGAAACAATTTTAACGCTCATGCAATTTATCAGAAATATCGTCTGTTACACTGCACTGATCAACAGGGGTTCGTTATAAATGTCTGAAATACACATATTCTATAGACCTACTGACACATATGTTACAGACCTACTGATATGAGTCACAGCACACATAAACATTCGTCATTTCAGACATTTGTAACGAACCTGTGCTCCGTCGCAAGATCACTCACTTCAAACGCTATCAGTTTCACGCGTCTCGGATCCACGGTTCCTCAGTTTCAGACGACATGTCAAATAACGATGCTGTTATAGAATCTACCGACTGTTGTCGGGTTCCCATACAATCAACAAATACATTCACGCCTGGATTCTTCACAAAATGAGCAAAGAGAAAAGTTCGAATTAACTTCCAAAAATAACTCCCTCGTGGAGGTCAAGGTCCCATTCACGGTGTTCACTGTATTTATCCATGCGCGAAATTTGTTCCGGGGGAAAATCGAAACAATTTCAAATCTAACTTTCAGCTCAGATTTCTATTGAAAAACTGGAATCACCCTATAGACATATCATACGCAATTGTATTGATACTAAATTGTGGAATAAATTTGAAGTGTTTGTTAAAATGTCAAAGTACTACTTTGTTTGCCAATCAGCACGCGACAATACGCTGTTCAAACTATTGAACGAAATTGTGTGGACTGTCGATAAGGCGGGCATTTTTAATTTTAATTATAAATTATAAGTTAAAAAAGAACATAAGAACATAATAGGCAGAGAAAACGTAAATATAAGTATTGAACTGTTTTTGTATGGTATTTATGATCTATTTGAATGACACAGCTTTGCAAGCAAACAACATAATGCGCGCTAAAACAGTTCAATGCTTAAATAAATGTTGATAAACCCGTGAATTTGTGATTTAAATATATAACGTTATACCTTTCCTAATACTTGTGGTATTGCGGTTACAATATCGGTAGTGATAACGACATTCTTGAAACAACGATAGTTTTACGTTATGCTATGCAGGATAAAACGTGACAAAAGTACACTGACCTAACAGCGTTATTAGTCATATATTTGTGTTAATATAGGGACTTGCAGCAGAACTCTATACGTTTGTAGTCTTCGACAACTGTTTTACACATGGAAAACAACGCATTATATTTGGATTCCCAGTTTTTGCGAGTGTCAACCGAACAGAGGAGGAATCTTTTTCATTCAGTCTTCCTGATGGTACCATTAGCAGAAACCTGGGACACCAAAGGAACGTAAAGGGTAGTAGGTGATACATTACATATAGGGTAGAAGGTGATACATTACATATAGGGTAGTAGGTGACACATTACATATAGGGAAGTAGGTGATACATTACATATAGGGTAGTAGGGGATACATTACATATAGGGTAGTAGGTGATACATTACATATAGGGAAGTAGGTGATACATTACATATAGGGTAGTAGGTGGTACATTACGTATAGGGTAGTAGGTGATACATTACATATAGGGTAGAAGGTGATACATTACATATAGGGTAGTAGGTGATACATTACATATAGGGTAGTAGGAGATACATTACGTATAGGGTAGTAGGTGATACATTACATATAGGGGAGTAGGTGATACATTACATATAGGGTAGTAGGTGCTACATTACATATAGGGTAGTAGGTGATACATTGCATATAGGGTAGTAGGTGATACATTACATATTGGGTAGTAGGTGATACATTACATATAGGGTAGTAGGTGATACATTACATATGTATATTGATTCTTCTCTGGTCGAGTATTTATACTAAATACGACTAATAACATTCAATATGAGTGCTCTCGAATGGAGAATGAGTTATGATCAACTGTAATATTTCGACTCTGGGTAGAAAAGAAATTACATAAACAGCTGAAGCCCTTACTATAAATATGGGTAGAAATTCCATAAACAGCTGAAGCCCTGACTATAAATATGGGTAGATATTCCATAAACAGCTGAAGCCCTGACTATAAATATGGGTAGAAATTAGATAACAGATAAAGCCCTGACTATAAATATGGGTAGAAATTACATAAACAGCTTAAGCCCTGACTAAATTACCCAACAGCTGAAGCCCTGACTAAATTACCCAACAGCTGAAGCCCTGACTAAATTACCTAAAAGCTGAAGCCCTGATTAAATTATCCAACAGCTGAAGCCCTGACTAAATTACCTAACAGCTGAAGCCCTGACTAAATTACCCAACAGCTGAAGCCCTGACTAAATTACCCAACAGCTGAAGCCCTGACTAAATTACATAACAGCTGAAGCCCTGACTAATTACCTTACAGCTGAAGCCCTGACTAATTACCTAACAGCTGTAGCCCTGACTTATTAGCTATCCAAGGACGAAAAGCTATGTTTGCATTATTTTCAAAGTGTTCATCATTAACCTTAAATGTAAAAACTTTGCTACACCTTTTCGATACATATGCAAGCAGTATCCTTTTTTATGCAAGTGAAATTTGGTGTATGCACAAAGCCCCAGAGATTGAACATGTACATTTACATTTTTGTAAGAAATAACTAAAAGTGAAGAAATCGGCCAATAACAACATGGTATATCTTGAATTGGGACCATTACCTCTAGTTTGTATGAGAAAAATTAGAATGATAAAATATTGGTTTAGGATCTTAAAATCTTAAAATTGTATCATTTCCACTTCCTATAGATTTTTCTTAAAATGTTGTAGTAAAAATGATTTCAACTGGGCTAAAGCAGTTAGAGATGAATTGAATAATCTAGGTCTTAATGATGTTTGGTTAAATCCATGTATTTCTCAGCAAAATGTGTTCTTACCATTGATAAAACAAAGAATTTTTGATCAAGGCATACCATCCCTTAGGGCCTCAATGGAAAACTCTCCAAAATGTTTATTGTATAAAAATATCATTGATTTCGGAGAATCATTACAATTTAACCTCACAAAGTATATACCAATGAAACATCGCATTTGTTTAACTCGAATCCGAACATCTATACTTTCTTTGGCTGTAGAAGTTGGAAGGTATAATACTATACCTAGAGAACGTACATATTGTAAACAGTGTAACTCTCCCTCTGAAGTAGAGGACGGATTTCATTTTTTATAAGTCTGTTCTAAATTCCAAAATATCAGATCACGTTTTATCAAAAGCTCTTACTGGAAAAATCCATCTGTGTTTAAAGCCGTTCAGTTATTGAGTGTCCATGATATTAAAGAATTGTGTATACTAGGAAAATTCATCTATGAGGCAAACAAATTAAGGGTATTATAATGGAATATGATTGTCTTCATTATCTGTATATTGTTCATGTTTTGCGTATAACATGTATTGTATACAGATGGGCCAATGGCCTAAAGTTCGAATAAAACTTGAAACTTAACTACCTAACAGATGAAGCCCTGACTAATTACCTAACAGCTGTAGCCATGACTAATTACCTAACAGCTGAAGCCCTGACCAGAGTCCTAGGTAGACATTACCTAACAGCTGAAGCCCTGACTAATTACCTGACAGCTGAAGCCCTGACCAGAGTCCTAGGTAGACATTACCTAACAGCTGTAGCCCTGACTAGAGTCCTAGGTAGACATTACCTAACAACTGTAGCCCTGACTAGAGTCCTAGGTAGACATCACCTAACAGCTGTAGCACTGACTAGAGTCCTAGGTAGACATAACCTAACAGCTGTAGCCCTGACTAGAGTCCTAGGTAGACAT